TTCAAAACTTTTAAACCAGAATGAAAAGGGAGAAATTCAGTGCAAATTTGCAAATGAGATACTGTAGATGGACAGAACACAAGAGAAAGAAACAAAGTCTCAGGAAATGGGCTTATTAGAGTATTAGGACAAAAACACAAGAGGTTTACATTTGGTGATTTTGACGCTCAGTAATTGGAGTGATAAGAAGTGGAATGGGACAAGATAGATAAGGAATCAGTAGACAAATTAAAAGATACTGTGCTTGAAGCATGAACCGATTTCATCCTATGAGTCAACAGAAAACAAACAGCAATGGGCTCATTAAAGAGCCTCAGAAATGATAGTGGAATAGGTGCAGAAAAGGAAAGGAGAATGACTGATTTATCAAAAGAATAATTCGCTTAGGAGTTTACCCAGAAAAACATTGAAAACATTCCTTAGTCTGAGGAAGGACAATTCTAAACTAAATACTATTAACATAAAAGGGGTAGAAATATAACAGGCACCAGAAGCCCTTGAGGTAAGTCTCCAGATCTGAGGGTGTATAACCATTTATATTTAAGGAATTGAGATGATGTTCAAGATCGTTAACAAAACTCCAAAAGTTGCTGAAGACTGGAAAATTGCTGATGTAGTGCCAAAAAAAGTGACAAAACCGAACTATTACAGAGAAGTACTTAATTGTAAGTAAAGTTATGGAAGTTATCATTAGGGTTATCCTAGAGGATTAACTGGATGCTGACAGGATTCTAGGGGACAGTCAACATGGATTTAGAAAAGATACAGTAGTTACTGTATCATACTTAACTAAGATGTTACAAAATAACACAAAATATCCATTCTTTAATTGAAGGCCAAATGCAAGATAATGCATTTTGATTAAAAAATGGTTAACAGAGAACAGAGACAACGGATGAATTCTCAAATTCAGGATGGTATAAATAGTGAATACGCAGCTGCATTTCCTCATTTATATCAAGGATTTAGATTCCAGTATATTTAATTGCTCAATTTGAAAACAGCAGGATTGGGAAACATTGCAGAAGCAGCAAAAATAAGTTTAAAAAAGACAGGCCAGATTCAAGACTGGGGCATATCAAACAACAGATCACTTTTCATGGAGACAAAGTCATATGGGTGGGAGGAAACACATTATAAATGTTAAATGCAAGGTGGGAAACGCTGAATAATTAAGTACAAAGGGTGAACAGAATTTACAGAGTATTTAAAAGTATTTAAATTTAATTTAATTTAAAGGATAACGTGTTAAAAGTGCACAATGTACTGGTGAAAGCTCTTTAGAACTGTGTACAATTCTGATCAACATATTACAAAAAAACATATTGTCCCCTTGGAATTAGTCCAAATAAAAGCACCCTCCAGGGCTTAAAGGAATGTCCTCTACAGACCTGAAAATTGAACCAATTCTTTTTCATCTTGAAGACAAAAGACTAGGAGGAGACCCAATCCAAGAATTCAAAACCCTGAAGTGATCTGACAAAGTCCACACTGCCCAATGCAGCAGCTATTAAGTGGCAAAAACTATTACTATTATATTGCATAGAAAACATAGCCTACTACGGAAATACCAGGAATCTGCCCTAACCAGTTCCTCTTGGCACGACCTCAAAATACCTTTGATGCATACACAAAGCCGAGCACATTATATTTGTTTGACGAATCGAAACAGAAATCTAGGAATGTGTTGGAGGAAAACGGAGACTTGTTTTTTTGTACAAATTGTCTTTTTGTACATCGTCAGTTGTCTTATACTCTGATTCGTGTTCACAAATATCATTCATCCTCAATACATTTTACCCATATTTTCCTTCGGCTGTTGCAAATGGCCCTTCTGTTACATTGATCATGAACTGTATAATGCATTGAAATAAAGGAAAAAAAAACATACCCCCGAGACTTAATGCACTGGTATTCAAGAGAGCTGTGAATTTTTAATTCATGCTTTTAATAATTAAAGGATGGGAACCATTTCACAGTGAAAGAGTAACAGAATCCAGCACCAGATTCGCAGACTTTGGACAGGCATTTAGAGACTGTAACCAGTTTAACTGAAATGTCAGAGTAATGAATTCCCCACGGGCACATTCTGCAGTGTGAGATATGAAGCTATTTCTTTTCTTCCTCACACTGTACACTGCCCAATTAAACCACTTGGCCATTCTTTCCCTGTGACTCCCAGCAAAGGCTCAGTTTAAACTTTAAAACTGTTGTATTTTCAAACATTCCCAACTAGGTTTTATCATTGAAATGAATCTGAATAACATATTTTCTACATATTGCAACCTCCTGAGTTTACAGGAATTTCATAAAATCAACAATACACTCCTATAAAATGTGCAGAACTTGCATGCTGTATCAGCTGAACTAGATCTTTTATTATCACTTTTAGTTCTTCAGGAGTCTGAGGATCTGAGCTACTATAAAGAAAAGCTGCATGAGGCATGATTTATACGCTTTGTGCTGCCCACATGAAATGAGAGGACAGCTATATTTATTGGAAGAAGAAACTGTGTTAAGAGATGAGATGACAACAGCCAATGGCTAACTTCTTTAACTTCTCTGATGTGTCAATAAAGTGGATTCATATAAGACTAACTTGGATATAAACAATCTTTAGAAATGTTCACAGTTCTTCATTTTTTAGTCATAGAAATATGCAATACTCAGAAACAATAATTCTGAACACCTTCCAAGTATTAGAATGCTTTGGAACATTATACTGTAGGTATCACTTTGCTTTTTATATACACTTGTACATTTTTCCACATGAAGTATATTTTACTTAAATAGCACATATTAGTACTCAAGTTCAAGTTTATTGTCATTACACTCATACACAGGTATACGGTATAATGAAATGCTATTTAGCTAGCTCTCAGACAGTAAGTAGTACAAACAAATAATACAATTGTATAAGAAAAGAAAGACAGAGACAACAGGCAGTGTGCAAAACAACAACAGGCAATGTGCAAAACAACATCAGTTCTGCAAAATCATACATCAACAGAAAATTATGGGGAGTGAACTTTTTTACATGTGAGGTAGAGGTAAATTTCAATCTGTGTTTTGATAAATTTTTGAGAAAGAGAGAAGGTACTGTGAGGGTTCAGATCATGGGTGAGAGAGGCTGGGAGTTTAATAGTTTGATAGTGCGGGGGTCAAAACTCTCTCTGAGTCTGGTAGTCTGGGCCCGAATGCTCCGGTACCGTTTTCCAGATGGTAGATGGTCATACAGTCTGTAGCTGGGGTGTGTGGGGTCTTTGATGATGCTTGGAGTTTTCCTCAAGCACCGTCTGTCATAAATGTCCTGGATGAATGGGAGAGCTACCCCAGTGATGGACTGGGCAGTAATCACCACCTGCTGTAGGGCTTTGCAGTGTGCTTTCTGTAGTGTGTCTGTAAAAGTTAGCGGGGATCTGGGGACATATCTTAGCCTTCTTCAACCATCTTAGGAAGTACAGGCACTGTTGCGCTTTCTTGATCAGACAGGTGGCGTTGAGAGACCATGTGAGGTCCTCGTTTATATGGACGCCAAGGAATCTGAAGGCATGACCACTTTGCAGTTTTCTGAAATCAACGATCAGCTCCTTGGTTTTCCCGACGTTGAGGGTGAGGTTGTGGTCTTCACACCTCCTCCCTGTAGGCCCTCTCATCATTGTCTGTGATCAGTTGGTGTTGTGTTTGGCCTTACAGTCATGGGTGTAGAGGGAGTAGAGCAATGGACTAAGCACACAACCCTGGGGGACCCAAATGTTCAGAGTTAGTATGCCAGAGGTGTGGTTTCCAAGCCTGACAGCCTGAGGTCTGCCTGTCAGGAAGTCCAGAATCCAGTTGCAGAGGGTGGTGTCAAGACCCAGTGCACTGAGTTTCTTGACTAGTTTCTCTGGAATGATGGTGTTAAAAGCTGAGCTGAAGTCGATGAATAGTAGTCTTGCATATGTGTTCTTTTTATCCAGATGGGATAGGGCAGTGTGTATGGCAATGGAGATTTTATAATTTGTGGATCTGCTGCTATAGCTAGTTTATCAGGTTTATCTCTACCTTGATTTCAAATGCTGAGAGTACATTTAAGAGCCCATTTTCAAAGGTACAATTGTAATACACATTGCAACATGTTTTAATACATTGTGGTGTAGATTAGGCTGCCTGGGGTGAAGGAAGCGTTTTGCAATGAAGTCGTTTGTCCTTTGAAATGTGGCAGTAAAATCTGGTTGCAGAGTCTTGGTTGCCTCATTGACTTTTTGTGTTTATCTCCACTGTCTTAAATAACATCTGCTGTGTCAGTCTCTTTCCACACCAAGTTAACAAGGATCCTTATTAAGAATTAATAACATTTGACAAGATACTGTACAGTTCGGACTTTTAAGAGATTGCAAGACAAGCCATTCTGGCTTTAGAACACATAATTCATTAAACTGAATACCGTACCTTTCCTTTTTTACAGCTTATTTTGTTATCTGTGCTATGTGTTTGCTCACTGTAAAAAAGAGTGATTTGTTCACTCATGTGGCATTAAATAATACAAGGACCCTAAACCTCAAGCTTGAAGTGACACTTGGCAGTTCCAAGAACTGCTGGAGAAAACCAGTAGGCAATTAGTGCTTTGAGTGAGTGTTTCCAGTAGAGTGCTCTGCTACAAACCTCACAAGCATCCTGATGAATTGCCTTGAGCAGACCTGAAAGAATTCCCCTGACAAGCCCTGCTGTTAGTCTTTTCGTTAGCGTGACAACTGATAGTGAGAACGGATGGCGCTCTCAAGGGAAAAGACAGCTGTCTCCAATGTAACTGGGATACTGGGTAAAAGCACACATTTGCTAGGATTGCAATGCCTTAAAATGACAGCAAAAAAAGAATACATAACTCACTAGTTACAAATTTATGATGAAACAAATCTGGAAAAGAAGTGTGATCCTCATGTTGAAACCAGTATTTGATCCAAGCATTTTTTAAATATAATCATTCTGATACTGCAAGATGTACCAAATTCACTTTTGAGTACATTAAATAATCAGCTTTATTAATTATGCAGTAAACAACAAAGTATTCCAAACAGCAATATAATACAATTAAGTGCAGTTATTTCTAAGGGAGCCACTTTTTATCAGCAGCACTGTACTGTTTTAGCTTTGGAATACAGCTTAAGGGAAATGGTGAACAACTACCTTCTACAATACTGAAATACCCTCGAAGGTAGAATATGCTGTTAATAACATACATTGTTAGTGTTTCAAACATTGACAAAAGTAATTTCATGTTAGTCCAGTTCTGAAATTCAAGGCAAAAAAAAGTATTCAGAAAAGGCAGCAATAGTACTCATATACTGTATAATCCATATTTATACATTTTAAAGGTAACAGGAAAAAGGATTAAAGGAAGACTTCAGACTACAGCAAATATATGTGTTTTAATGGACTATGCATCACAGACACTGTGACAGTAGTGCTATCGTAAATCTCACTAAGAACCAAGGGGTAATTTTTAGAGGAAGTGAAAATCAATGTTTCAGCCCCAACTTGAACAATTTACTACACTTTGAAAATAATGTATAGCCTCATATTTAGGTATAGTTCAATTTGTTTATTGGATCAAAGTTTCTTCAATGATTGTTTAACTGGAAAAGTTAAACTTACTTGAGAGAAACCACCATTATCTGAATTTACAAAATGACTAGTTTAGTTTGTAGTTAGCGTTACACCACATGATGTATTTTAGTTTGCAGTGCCACGGTCAAATCTTCCTGTCAGATTTCCTTCTATTTCTACTAATCAAAAGGTATAGGTTTATTAATTGGCAAATCGAAAACATTGCAACCACTAACGCTGCTGCAAATCTGCAACTTGCCCATCAGAGAATATTTCTGGAGCTGAAAACACCCCGAGACATCTCAGCAGATTTAAAATCTCTCTACCCACTGGGGAAAGGTTGACACAGAAACATGTGTAATAGACATTAAATAACCTAACAGCCCAGAAATAAATTTGTAGTCATTAACACGCTGACCTTGCTGAAATTAAAACCTGCAAAAGCAGACAACAACCTTACTCGACTGCACTTTTTGTTTAAAATCTGTACCCTAGTATGGCTTTTATTTAGATAATAAAATATCGCTGTATTCTAGAAAAATAGAAAAAGTTCAAACGCATATTTAAAACATAGTAACATTAAAGGTTGAGCTGTATTATGTAGAACTCCTGAATCCACAGAAACCCCTGTGTTTGACCGAAGGACTCTGGATATGAGCCCCTTGCACACTCAGTCGCCCCATGCACAGCAGGAAAGGTGCATCTTCACTGGGCATGACATTATTTTGTAACAAGTGTATTATAGCAAATGTGGTGCACTACGTAGACATCTTTTTTAAGATGAGATATGAGATCAGATTTAATGTTGTTTTATACAGGACAGACACCTCTTTCTCGAAAGAGAAAACAATTTAGCTCTATGCACTCCAGCATCAGTCATATTTTGCACAGCCGGTCATACTAAGTCGTGCTGCAGAAAATTTATTAACACTTCAGCTAAGTTGCCGGCACATTTATGAAAAAGTAAAGCCTTAATGTATATATCAATGCACTGTAATGTAGCTGTGTGAAGCCAAAATGTACATTCAGCATAATTTACCCATGAATTGATATACATTGTGACAAAACACTAATCTGCACATAACAAGAAACGGTACATTTCTCCATTTAGCTCTTAGTTTCTTCTTTAGGAAAGGCAGATGCCCGAAGGATTTCCATACAGCTCACTGCAATCAGTGCTCCAGTGACCTGTCTCCATTGCTTAGTAATGGGATTTTTCATTTTGTCTAATGCCAAATGGAGGTCCTGTATCACATCCCTGTAGCTGTCTCCATAATGGGCGCTCCATGTGTACAGAAAGTCATATGCAGGTTTCCACATCGACTGTAAAGAGGAGAAATAAAGAAACTTTATGACAAGTGTATTTACAGGGCAGTTTTTAAGATTTACAGGGCCTTCTCCTGCTATGCCCCCAAGCTCTGGAACTCTTTACCCAAGGATATTAGAGAGTCACCTTCTCTAAACTCCTTCAAATCCAGACTCAAAACTTTCTTCTTCAGTAAAGCCTTTACTTAACTGGTTCCATTCTTCACCCCTCTGCTCTTCTTAATACCATCTTCCACGGTCTCCTCTATTTTTATTGTTGTATTGTTGTAATTATAATTGTGTCCTGTCTTGTGAAATTTTCTTATTTATTGTTGTAGTCTTCTTATTTATTGTTATTGTCATCCTGTAAAGCGCTTTGAGAAGCCACCTTTAAAGGCGCTATATAAAATAAAGTTTATTATTATTATTATTATTATTATTATTAAGATGTTTCTTCAAAAAACTAAATGTACTGAGCCACACTCCACAACTAATTGTAAATGTCTGAGGGTAAACATAATTAGAAAGAGGTTATGTGGGTCTGGAAAAGAGTTTCCTTTTGATTGAAGTGGTGTGAATCAGTTAATTGTATTCTGAACACATCAGACACAGTGTCCTGAGACTGCCGAGAGCCGAGTCAGGAGAAGCTCCTGCTCAGAGCTCAACCTGAGCCCTGTGCTGCAGGTCAAGCCCGGACGATGTCACCGGCTCGCTCCGACCTGGCTGGCAGGGGGAGCAAGCTGGCAGCGCAACAGGAGCTCCCTGTAGCCATGGGCCGCTTGCCGGCTTCCTCCCCATCAGGTGTAACTGGTCTCCGGGTGGGTTACAGGAGTTAACCTGGCCGCAATCAGGCGAACGGGCTAACGACTGGCAGCTGAAAACAACAACAAAAAACAGAAACTTAAACAGACCTGACCGCTCACTTCGCCGCTCTTTCCCCGGTGAGGTTTCTCGTAGTCGGCAATCTGAGCGCCCGACAGTTTTCCCATTCTCTCGGCGAGCTCTCTCCAGCGGATTCCCAGTTCCACCGCAGTGGACAGGATGACTGTGTTCTGGGTCAGACGGGCGACGAGCCCTTGACAATCGATCTTCAAAAGCCCCTGGAGGGTCAAAGTCCATTTCAGAAGTTTATTTTGTCAGTTTGTTTATGCATTTAAGCTACAGGTCATTGTTAAGCGAGTATAAGTGTGTCAGATCTCTTTTTCTGTGTAAAACTAAACCCCATAGGCCTACAGATATCACATTTCTTAAATATTTTCAAAACTGGCCGCAACACCTCTTCTCTTGTTCAAGGAGTGATAACAGATGTTCATCAGCATCATGCAATGACCTGGGAACAGTCGAACCTTGAAAACTGAATCTTTGTGACAGGATCATTCTATACATTTTTTAAGAGAAAAACAAGATCTACATCACACAACAGTTGCAAAAATCTCTTTTGAGTCTCTAGTTGCATACGTTTCAAAGGGCATGCATAAAACACATGAACTAGCATGAGCTATGAACTAGCTGAACTGTTAGCAGGTCTGAATAAAAGATAAAATAGGTTTTAAAAACCATTTGCAACCTCATCCTTAATTTTACCTCCTTAAAAAAAATCATCTTACAGGACCTCTCATATGAAAAAATATCCAATGTGTGCCTTAAAAAATAATGAACTCCTGATACAGTATGTATTTAGATGTGTAAAGAAAAATACACTGTTTCGGTCTTAATCATCTCACTGACATTTATCAACCAGTTTAGTCTGCTACCTGTTATTGTCCCAGTTGTCTTTTTGGAAAACAATAGTTTTCCAAAGACCACGTAAGGCCATATTTCATTCAGCTATTTTCACTGAATCGCCTCCTACAATTTGTCAATCCATCATCTCACAATGTGCACTTCCTGCCTCTGAATACTGTTTAAAACCAGAAATGATTTATGGCAGCAAGGCGGTCGGGCAGGTGTGAAGACTGCAAACCCCAAACAAAAATGAAAAATGAGCTGGAGGAGATATCAGCCATACCACTTCCTTCCGCCCTGAAATCTGACACATATCCTTCAGATCCTCCATATGAATGGAATTCATCTCCGTTTCTCATTTTTCTGAGCCCTGCAGCACAACTACTCGTGTGTGGCAGTACACCAGCTGAGAAACACTCATGGAGATAAATTATGTGAATCAGAAACAGCAAAGGACCTTAAACAGACCCCTGCAGTACTTTGTTATTCTCAAATAAAATTATTTTCCATTAGTGCAATTTTCTGCTGTCTATCCATTAGCTAGTCCTCAATCAGTGAAGTAAGAAAAGTTTATGGACTGATGATTTTATGTGATCTGTTCTCAATTTATAAATTGTCTTGGATTCCTAATTCTTTAGAATTAACATTTTATGTGGAATCTTATCAAAGACTTTTCATAAACTTACATTTGCTTGTATCTTTCGCTACCCTAGCTTGTTTGATGTAATTCAGCAGGTTAAACTAATATTTCCAAATGCACACTGACTATATCTTAGAACATTATAAAGTATGAGACTAAAATAATACCCCTCATTCAACTTAATGAACAAAACAGGTACTTTTTTCAAACAAAACGTTACATTACTATAAAGCTTATCCGATTTACCTGACTTTTTTCTTATAACAGTTGCTTTCTGTGAAACAGATGTAAGACTACTTTATTATTGTTACATCATTCTAATAAACCCCTGCAGAATATGCTGTCAAACATGGTAAGGGTATGATTTAACAACCTTTGAACCATTTCACTTACAATCATGAGCTCGTGCTGGAATTTCTTCTTAGTTTTGTCCGAGTGGCAATCCTCTTTCAGCTTCTCGAGCACACAGGCTACTTTCTCTGCTTCAGTCTGCACCTGCACTCTGGTTATGTCTTCTAGAGACAGGCTGGAGTAGCCTAAGGCCTCAGCAAAAGCCTTCCAGCTAGTAATGTCCTCTATGGCCAGCGACTGAATAGCAGAGTACATGTAGGTCAGTTTCTTGTATGGACGTACCAGCTGATCCAGGAGAGTGTTGGTGGTCACCTTTGCGTCTGTGAAGTCAATCACTTGTTCCTTCGAAATGACCTTCACATTCTTGCAGTGCACCAGCCCAAGTTTCCCTCGGATAAAACCGATGTGCCACTCTTTCACTTTGGTCTGGCCGACTGCCTTAATGGTTTCAAGGGAAAGAATTGCAATTGTGTCTCCTTTAAAATATTCCAGTAAGTACTCAACCTTCACCTGCCGGAGAACCGATTTGAGCGCGACACCATACCAGCACACATTTACTTCCCGATTCTGAAACTTGGGACACTGCAACATGGCTGTTTCGGGAATGGGAGCAGAAAAGGCCACCTCCCTCCTCCTCTCCTGACGTTTCTGTCTAAACTTGTCCGACAGCCGCGGCGGTGCCTCGGGAGTCGACACGGTAAATTCTGTCAGAATGGCGGAGTTCGAACCTTTAACTTGAACTCCTAATTTAAAAGGCAGCATTTCACCACTCCCGGACTTGGACAAGGTAAATGGCAGACGCAGAATTTGCCCCATTTTGAGGTGCACTTGCTTCACCTCTTTAACTTGATCCACGGCGCTGATTTCGTATGTACAGTCGAGGGGCGTCAGTGCAATCTGGAGATTCTGCAGCTCTTTCGGGTGGAATTGATGTTTCCCCCAGAGCTGCAGTACGACCTGGGGCAAGTTTTTGCCGCCCTTTTTGAAGTCTGAGAAGCAGAATTTTTGAGGGATTTGATTGTGACAGAAAACTGCACACAACGCCTTAAAGGTCGGGTGGATGTGCTTCGGTCCGTAGATCCCGACAGTGACCTGCCTGTCCATGTAGTCCCACACGGAAGCCGCTGGGGGCTGAAGAACTTTGGCTTGAGCTGCGGCGATGACATACAGCTGAGGCCTTGTGTTCTTCAGCTTCACTTGCAGCGTGTCCCTATAAACATAACAGCTCTTTAGCCTTTCGAAGGGTCCCTCTTTTTTGTGTCCACACAGACACACAATTTCAGTCATGACCTGGCTCAGAGGATCGCGTTTGATTTCACCAGCAATCTTCATCTCTAATGAAATGCACTCCTGCGTGTCGTGGTTGCTGAGACTTACTTCCAAAAGTGGGCTCAGAGTGGTCGAAAGGTCAGTATTCAGTCCCTGTGGAGGGTCAAGGATTGCTTTCAACGCAATTTCCTGAATTTGTCCTGGTGCAACGTGGCCTTCTGGAATATGGGCGCTGATGTCAGCATCAGGTAACTGTACCGATCCTCCATTATGGTTTAGCTTGCAGACAATTTGTGTCTCTGTTGCTTGACTCTGGGCCCAGCCAGGACTCTGACTCATGATCCCCAAATCAAGGCATGATCTAGTCAACTGCCTGTGGCTCAGCCATGCCATCTTGTGTGCTTCTCTGTCATCTTTCAGCCAATCGAAATCCGGTGTCAAAAACTGATTTGACACCACCAGATTGCTTTGCCTGGGGGGTGCTTTTCCATCTGAAATATCCAGAATATCGGATGCACTATTCCACCTTCCAGACCTTTTCTGAGTGGGCTTCCTTTTTAAATTCAAAAGATGACTGATGTTCACTTCATCTGTAGAGCTGTTTGAATCTGCATTTTCTGCACCAAATACAGCCAAGGGGTCCTCCTTCAATATTGAAACTCTAGTATTGTTTCTCTGACTTTCTCCATTGTCCATAATGTCATCCAGGAAGGGATTGGAGCCAGAAAGGCCATTCCAGAATGGGTTTGAGGCTTTTGCAGGCTGTAAGACCTCTGGCTGTAAAATGGGCCATTCTGAATGCTTGCTTACACTAGGTGCAATGTAACTGCCTGTAAGAGAGGAGTGTATTGAAAGAGTTTACAATATGTAATAAATTGCCAGGGACAACAGCTCTAAAACTACACAGCTAACAGCTCTGCCATTTGAAAGAACTGTATGGACAAAATTTAACACTCTGTCAGGTGGATGATGCCAGGAAAGAGTGCAACCACAAAGTCCACACTGCCTTGCAGTGAGGCAATTATATGGCACATTATTTAGCAGTTTAGGAGCAACAGATTGATAACACACTCCAGGCCTACGTCAGGAGTAGGAGAGGAAAGCGGTGGAGAGCACCACTGCAGGTTGTTAAAGATGCCAGCTCTTGAAGTGCAGTGGGCTTGCAACACTTGGCACTCGAAATGTGCGTTTCTTCAGAGACAGAAGTCCGCTCTCTCTGGAAGAGCAGAAAGACAAGGTATCGCCATCCTACACATAGGCTGCACTATTTTGGTGAGGCTTAAGTCACCACTGGAGCTGACTGTAAGACAACTGGTGCTTCAATATGGCAGCTTTGAAGCTTAAGTTCACACTGCATCTATCCTGGCATCAATCCCATGGTGTCTTTTAGTTTTAATATATAGGACCTTCTCAGATCCCATATATAAAATAAAAAACAGAAGTATACTCATTAACAATTATTATTTGCTACACAATTTAAAATTAATATACAATAATATGAGCATTTATTTTATATACTGCTTTTAAAATCTTAATATGTAAAAGAAAAAGACACACCAGAAAATAGAGACATATTGCTTTTTCTTTCAGAAATGACTAATTTCCTAATATTACCTTTGAAAAAAGCCAGGCAAATGCTTGTAAAAACAATAGAAAAGCCTGCATTATGTTTTCTTTCATATTGCGTTTTTTTTTTAATTAAAACAACTTATCAAGCCAGGGACTAGTTTTCAGAAACTGAGAATATTAATCACATTTAAAATATTTTACATTAAAGATACCAATAAGTACTATGTTCACACGATGCCCATCATCAGAAAGCCAGTTATTCCTGGTGAGGGGCACGGCAATCCCAGAGGCCTCCCCAGGAGCACAGGGCACAGGGCACAGGGCAGAGCCAGGCAGGCAAAGGGCACACGCCCACATGCATCACACACGGTGCACACTTCCCTCCTGCTCCAGCCCAGCACTCCGGCTGCACAGCGTCACGCCCGGGCGTCCTCCTCTACTGTAGGCAGCAGGAAGCACAGAAGGGCCACCGAGGAAACTACTGTCCACAAAGATGCACAATGGGGATGCTCGCATCCTTTTTGATTTGCAATTTTAGTTTACTGTACGTAAAAAATGTAGAGAAGAAAACAAGAAAAGAACACACCTCACTCACTGGAGGAGGTATCATATATCATCTATCAGGAGGCAGGGAAAAGGAAATGGAAAGACACGACTTCTGCCCCTGGTTTTGTAATGGCCACGAGAATAAATAAGTGGACGGTTCTCCAAACTGTTGTGTTAAATCTTCCGCATCTGTTTCGTGTGAATACGTCCAACCTTCAAGCATGTGTAGGAGAATGGGGTCTTTGCCAGCACTCAGCTATAGGGGGCACCCCAATAGCAGCTTCACACTCTCTACACCCCACCTTCAGTTTTCAAATGTACTGGAAAGCATCTTCTTAACGCTGCTGCTGTTCAATCTTTGGGATATTTATCAACACACTTTTATATGTGTGCCTGCAGTATTAACCCATTTGGGGTGTTATATTCTCCCCTTGTTTTTAATAAAGCTTTAATAAAGTGCTTTCATGGAGCTGTCAGTTTGTTGAATTGCTTTTTTTTTTTTGACATGAGGTGCCACTCCGTACTACACTGTGCTTTGCCAGCATCAGGTATTAGAGGAATGCCAGCACAGCAGGGCATGGCATATTTTTTTTTAAATGCTTTCACAACAGTGCCAGCGCAGTACATGGAAATAAGGTACAGTGTTGGAGACACTACAGGGAGGTGGGAGGGAACTGAAGTAACTGCAGACAACCCATGTGGACGTAAAGCAAGCAGACTCCACATAAACAAACCCAGGACCCAAGAGCTGTGAGGCCGCAGCACTGACCACTACATCAGTGCCTCCGTCCTAATGAGCCGCCCAGGAAAAAATGCACGAAGCTCGAAAACTAAATAACAGCTTTACTGACACAGATCCTTGAAACGCAGCTCGCTTAGCTCACTTGATCTGAACTGGCACCTCTGTGAAGCAATGTGTAAGATAACTGAAATGAACATTTTTACATGCACAGATAAATCTGGGATAAAATACAATTTGTTTGGTTTTATGGTTTACTGCGTAGAACAGTTTAGGAAAAGCCATGGAAAGACAAAACAAGAACAAGTGAACGATTTTTCTATTGCAAAATCAGCAAATAAGATGAATAATCTATAAAACGTTTCACAAGGCTTGCCGAGTAGCAGTCCTGGAGAGGCAAAGCACCCCTTGTGGTCCTGTATAAAGTTTAAACAACACAGACAAACGCAGGTTAAGGATGGGGTTACCTTTGTAATTATTGCTGCTGAGCTGTCCATTGTCATCCACATCAATCAGTGTCCCCTCAGACTTGCTCCTAGCGAGGCGACGCGACTCTGCTCTAGCTGCTGACATGATCACACCTGGAAAGTCAACATGAAGCACCGTGACGCCTTCCCACAACACTTCAGCAACATCACAAATACTGGAAAAAATACTCTTGAAAGAGACCGAAATATCTGCAGCTCATAAGGGTGGAATTGTATTTGACTTGTCACACGCAACGGTTAAGAGGCATCCGCAAACATATCCAGGAGCTGAAGAAGAAGTGGACGGCTGTCCAAACTGTCGTGCTACAGCTTCCGCGTGTGTTTCGCGTGCGTGCGCCCAACCTCCAAGCGTGTGTCAGATAGTGGGGTCTGCGCCCGCACGCCGCCGCAGCGGGCACCTGTCTCCGCCGTGCTCCCCAGCTGGCAGCGCAGTGGGGTGGAGCCGACTGCAGCCACACCTGTACAACCAGCACGGCGGCCTGGTCTGTCATCCAGAAGGTCAGAAAACCCCGATAGCACCTTCACACTCTCCACACCCCACCTTCAGTTTTCAAACGCACTGGAAAGCACCTTCTGAACGCTGCTGCTGTCCAACCTTGGGGATTTTTATTGATACCTTTGCGTGCGTGACCGCAGTATTGGCCTGTCCGGTTTGCGTGACCCCGACTCTGCAGGACCACGACTGGGCCCCCCTGTCGGAGAGCTCTCCCACAGCTCCAGCCTGCGTTAACTTCAGAGATCTGGCAAGACCGGGTGGAAAGTGGGGATGGTGCCATTGAGAACTATGTTGCAGCGACACTCTTTGGGATTTTGGGGGAATTTTCCCACATTATCCACAGTGTTGCTTCTATTTTAGATACCTATTTTGATGTGTCTTCAGTGCAGGAACCTCATCCCTTGGCTTCGCACTCCAGTTGTCACTGATTTTAGCCGCTGTTGAGTCATCTCAAATTTCACAATGCTAACTCTCACTTCACTTTTTAGGGACTCCAGAAACCTGCTGTTCAGAAGACAATTTCACAGCTTTGCCTTCATGTTTCCCACTGAAGCATTTCCAAGTCGATATCTTATTACTTTCAGATGTTAAGGAACAGAAATGTTCCTGACTCCTTCAGTCTGATCCTCTCACAATGCTTGATTATTCTGCATTTACTCAACTCAGACTCAATATTTATCCCAAACTGGGCCCACTGAAAAGTAATGGTACAGCTGGCAAAGTGCTATTTTATAACACTGTTATTCAGTGGTATATATGTTATGATTTTGCAATCATAAAATTCCATGCTTTCATCATCTTAGTATACACAGCCTACTTCCCAAATTCAATCAGCCTGAGGTATGAACTCATGCTGCTCCTTTAGATGTGCTAGTTAAAAACATCTGTTTCTGATGACCAAGTGCACCTAAATGGGTACAACCTGTTTCGTGACAACAGATCTTAGAAGGGAGGTAGGGATGTTTTTCAAGAAAAAGAGCAACGACAAAGCTCTTGTTATGTCTAAAACAATCTCCAGACAACTTGAATTACTCAAGGCAAGATCCCAGCTCCCCAACAGTGTCTGACAGTTGCAGGATGCCACAGGATCCATATACCTGGTTTCACAGTCACTGTAACTTTAAGTGAAGTTTTTGCTCATTACTTGAGTTCTAAGTTTATTACATTGCGATACACTTCAATATGTCAATGCCTACTGGCACAGTAAAAAAAGAGTTTTATTCTGCAAAAGACTTGACCAAACAGAATTGGCTCAAAGTCACAAAATAAGTCACTCTTTCTTGACATCATGCTCCTGTCAGGTACAGCTTCATGTAAGGATCCAATTGAGCTATTGGGCATTTTTTCTTAGCATGTATTAGAAGCTGCTTGAAACAGAGCCTTCTCCTCTGATTTTATCCAGAAGAGACTGAATTCAAAAGAGTTTTCTACATGATCTGGCTTTAATAAACCAAAGTAGAATTACTCATCCCACCAGTTCAAGATTACTGGATTGTGTTTAAGGACTTTTTTAGCAAAATCGTCAACAAGCAGGCACCAACTACGAGGTTTAGAATTAAAAAGCTCAATAGCTCTTGGTTTGAACCCAAGCTGTCATCTTTCATTAAGCATCTGGCCAACTACTAGACCTCCAAGACTCCCACTGATTGGATTTCCTTCAGTTAAGTTAGAAATGGAAGTATATGAAGTCATTAGAATCTCCAAAGTAACTTATCACACGCATCTGTTCTTTAACCTTTTACACTGACCCAAGCAATTCTGGAAATCAGATAAATATACGCGATCAAATCATTTCCATTTCCAAAAAAGTAAGCCAATACTGTTGTGACCTGATAAAAAAACAAAAACAAAGGGTTAATTCAATCAACGGACATTTCAATAATTACGACTGTGCACTTTATCGATGGTTACAAATAATGCTGATTCAGACAAGTCTGACTGACTTGCAGTCAGGTTCCAAATTCCCTTCACTTCCACAACACAGCCAGTTCCTGGATCAGAAATCCGTTTTTCTGATCTGTCCGAAAGCCTTCTAAGACTGAAACTAACGAGACCGCTGGACATCACAGCACTGAATCTGTTTTTATAAACCCTGCTGTTCTTCTAATATCTGTTCTGCTGATCCACTTATTTCATCTTTTTCTTAAATGGAGGAAACTCAGCAGATAGGAAGCCTATCCTTGTTCTGACTAAAAAACCTGTCTGCCCTGTTTCTGGATTATATCTGTATACAGTACGTGCCTTGCCTTCCAAACACCTGTCATGAAAAATGTCCTCTCACCGTTGCAGACAAATTCGTTTTCAGCTAATTTACTGATCTTTCAACACCCATCGTCACCATTTATCACCGTTCTTTGTACCTTCTTACAGTTGGACATGCAGCATTTGTATCAGACCAAAACCTCCCAAGAGCATCTAACGGGTTTGGGATGATAGCACACAATGCTTTTTAGATTATTTTAAGTAAGAAACTAGAGATTTCCAAGGGTTTGTTTATTAAAAAAAGAAATTTCAGCGGATACCTTTATCTCTAAAAATGAGAAGTAAATAAATAAACACAATTTTTCAATGTTAAATTATTTATACTTTGGATTGGTGAAAATTAATTTTGGGATATATAAGAAAACTGGCGTTCCCCAAAGTACAACTCTGAAAGCAGTTTCTCTGTTCATTGCTGAGCACAGATTTCATGTGCGGCAGTGATGTGGTTTACTGTGCCAAGGCTTGCAGGAGGTCATTATGAGAATGTCACGGGAATGTCTGTTAGATAAGCAGAATGGTGCTGATTGCTTTTGTATGATAATAATAATAATAATAATAATATTTAGTAGTAGTGGAATTACCTCTATAGTTCTTAGAATCCCCTTAGACTCCCACATAAAAGCACCCCCTACTGGACATCTTGTTCAATACAGAACCACCCACTTGACTCACCCACCATAACAAAGCACCCGATCGCATCCCACTTCGTACTTCACCTGTGTCAGGGCCTCTGAGGGTTGTGAATACTTGTATCAGGTCCCCTCAGTTTTCTCTGAGCAAGACTAAAAAGGTTTAGTTCTTTCAGCCTGTCACTCTAGACCCATTGTCCACAACAGGGCTATGAGCTATTGGATCTAGGGTGAAAAATAATACCCCCCTTACTTTAAAAATCAGATAATCCTTGATAAGTGGTTGCACAACAATCCAACATGAAACCAGATTGTTACTTCCATCCTTATTTTTGATTAGTGAGATCTTGCCCATCAATGTAATTTTCAGTTTTATATTTAAAAGGTAGCGACAACAGGCAAAATCTGCTTCTGTTGAATTCCGATAACCTTCTCTCACTATTCGCAATTGTAGTGCTTGATGTTTTTGTGGAACCTTAGAAAACCAGACCCACTGAATCCAGAAGCAGACCAGCAACCGGTGACGAAGAAGAGCTCACTGCAGAAAGCCTTTCCACTGATTTAAACCATGCAGAGACCAGGCAAGACGTGCTCTGTCGCCAAAACTGCTTCTAAGCTTGAAAGTGAGAGAAAAGCTGTTCGCAAGATTTCAGATTTTCTTCCAAAGAAAGCTCACTGCCCTTTACAGATCTGCCTATTTAACCCCTTCTCTTTGAGTTTCCTGTTTGTGCTTTTTTGTTCTATGTTTCTAATTAGTTTAATGTTTATGTAATAATGTTTAAATATTGCTCGGACTTGGGACTATTTTCCATATTTGCCTGGGCAACATGACTGTGACTGCTACAGTACCGCACCGCACACTATAATCCTATTTGAACTGCAACACTGGCACACTATGAAAGTAATTACGGGCAAAAGCATCTCACTTTAGAAAACGCTGGCGTGTGTGTGTGTGTGTGTGTAGTTTTTCACAAGCGGCATCATTACCATCTGGCAACTACAGTTAAAACCACACTGAGCCTGTTCGGTTGGAAGCAAGTTGCTCCGAGATGCCAGGCTAAACCGACTCCTCAGCCTCACACTTCGCAATGGAGCCTCACGTCTCATTCTTACCAACAAACCTGGAAAAGTCTGGTCGCCTGTGAGGAATATCCAGGCTGCCCTCTGGCTCTCAGAGTATCAGACTCCATTTATATGGACTGGCGATTTCTTGGCTTTGCGGGAAGTACAGGACTTCAGTATTCTCATTTAAGAGACGTGTCAAGTGATGGCCCTTTAAGCTTACCTTAGACGGGTGAAACTTTGCAAGACGAGCTCATTTCTACACCAGGTGAGCTACTGTGCTTTGCCTCAGCAATCTCTCCCGCAGAGTTCACAGGTGACCCTGATCACTGGGTCCCCAGAGACCATGTCAATCGCGTCTCGGTCAGCCCTGCAGTAAAGTGCTGTGCGCTTGTGAGGCGCCGCATTGATTTCGCAGGTGTTAAATGAAACATCCCAACAATCATCTTTTCGGCGGAACAGAGAAATACTGTAGATGTGTCATTTGCGCTTGGCTGCAGACCTAGTTAACACGCAATGACGGCTGAATTTCATTTTAAAACAGAGGCGCACAAATACAAATTCTACTTGACGGGCTGTAATCGTGTTCCCATACTGGTTAGACCTCTCCCAACACTGTACAAACACACAACAGATAACATTATGCAGAGTAAGAAGACAGTTTCGCAGGACACGTGTGGGTCGTTATTACTGTTGGTCACTCAACGTCCTTTATAATATCCATAGTGCATACAATTCTTCTTCCCTTACTAGCAAATGGACATATCTTGGAAAAAAACAACAGGTTGCGCTCTTTTACCCCGATAAGAAATCAGGCTGTGCGTGGACCGCTCTGGTACGGCGACTAAACAGAGTGAAGAATGACTGTTTCCTACACCGCCGCACAAGAACTGGTCGGGCTTGTTTCTGTGCTTTGTGCTTCGAAGTGGGAGCGCGGAGTGAACTTAGACGTTAGATCTTGTAGGAAAAAAAAGAGTTTCACACATCCGGGAGACAGTTTTTACACTTTCACACTTGTGCGCTGAAATCGCAGATTTAAAGAATGTAAAGATATTTGCTAGACTGGGTTTTGGAAACGTATCTGCAGGAGATAAAAAACTTTTTGAGCAGCACTCAAACTAATGTAATTTATATCGCCCTGTACCTAAGATATTAAATATGCAACTATTCAAAACATTTGTAAGTAACTAACATCAATGCCTATTGCAGCATTTTTGTTAATGAACACAATCAATTAAATAAAATCCGCATGATTCTCAACTTTTCCAGCTCACTAATTTACCGCATGCTCACTGACATACCGTCTTTGGCACATTTTGTACCGGTTTTAAAAGAACCTTTTCCACAAAACGTTTCCATTTTTACACGAAGAACAATCGGGAATTCTATAAAGTGTCAGCGCTGTCAATAACACAACTTATCCCAGACAACATGACGTAGAGAGGGGGGAAAAATCAAGATTAATATAATAAGATCACCCACCATGTCCACAGACCCGTTTTCAGTCGCTCAGGTACTTCTCTCTGTGATCTTCATGTGCCCCTAACCTCCCGAGTTTGCCCTCCTGCGCTTTGCCAGCGAATATTAATCCCGGGGAGTACCAGGCTGAGACAGCAGCACACCTTGCGGCTCGACCCCCTGTCTCTGCGGTAGCTCCTCGGTTTCACAGAGCACCCTGGGAGTGGGAGTCCGGGCGCACTTCACGGCCCTGATGTGGCCGGAGCCGCGACGAGCGTAAAGACTACAACACCCACCGGGCAGCGCTCTGTTTACCCACAGGTGATTGCAACACCTGAAACCCGAATGGTAGAGAGGTAGTTTCGGTGTCCAGAGAAAAGTTTAGAAACGCACCCGAGAGACGCAGAAAGAGAGGGCGGGGGGGAGTTGCAATTTAGTTTAAGACAAGTTTTACACTGTGTTTTGTCCAACGTCTAGAATTTAGCTTATTTCTTTAGAAGGATAATATTTTTCCGATTTTTTTTAATTAAAGTTTAGTCTGTCATGGTACTTTTATGATAATGTTGTCCAGCAGCATATTGTTTATTCATCCGTGTTCACGATCAAATGAGTGGTTGATTTTTCTTTCCAAAACTACTGTAAATTCTCCTTATGGGCCCATCCAGGTGGGGCTGCACATTGGTGGTGGGGAGGATCCCCATTACTTGTAAAGCACTTTGAGTGAAGTGTCCAGAAAAGCGCTATATAAGTGTAAGCTATTATTATTATTATTATTATTATCAGAGCTCTGTCCTGGGCATCAACAAGGCAACTCTTTAAGGACAGAAAAGAAGTCATGGACAAGAGGACCACTCCAGTCAGCCCATCTAGGTCAGACATAATCCAGAGTACCTTGTCACACATTCATACAACCTTTGCATAAAGATGTCACTCCTGTTATCCAAACAAAAGTACTTTCATCTAGTTTCAACTCGTGTCCTCTGGTTTGTGTTTCTCTGCTGATTCTGAAGAAGCCCAGTGGGTTTGGCTTTGTAAAGCCCTTGAGGATTTGCAGTACTGGAGTCAGGTCTTCTCATGAACAGCAAAGAGTAAGACTAAAAAGGTACAGTTCCTTCGTTCTGTCAGTGTAGGAGATTCCCTTCTGTGCAGGAGTCTATCTGGCTGCTCTAACACAGTATGTACTGATTCCAGAGCAGCAGCATGTTTAAATGGTAAACAAAACCGTACACAATCCCCACATTGTCTGAAAGATGTAAATGATGTGGCAACACAAACACAAGTATTTTTCACGAGTAGCCTCTTCTAACTCAGTGTTTCCCCATTTGTATTTATAGTTAACTTTTACCACCTGCGTGCAATATCCTCCACTGAATTAAATGTCATCTGCTGGTCGTATTCTCACTCATGGATTTTATCTAAATCTTTATGAATTTCATTTGCAGCTCCTACAGTGTTAGCTAATCCTCCTGTGGTATCATTTGCAAACATGACTAGTTTATTAACTATTATTAACTATCTCGATCTAGATCATTGATGTAAATTATGAAAAACAGTAGTCCTGATACAGATCCCAGTGGTATTCCACAAATTACTTGTCCATCACTCCAATCTGAGAATTTACACTTTATCTGAACTCTCTTGTTTTGTAATAAAGTATTCTCAATGCAAGGATAAGCATTTCCCCAAATGCCTAATGCCTGCAATAAGTGCAGCAGTCTTTTCTGAGGAACTATAAATATATCATAATTATACCCTATATGTATCCAATAACCTAGCAATCCAACAATTTGATTAAGTAGAAAATATCTTTTATAAACCCTTGTTGACTATTTCCAAGTATTTTATTTCCATATACAGCAGGTGATTCTCTAGTTCAGTTCTTATAATCGTTTCCATAATCTGTCATGTAATAGAAACCAAACTGATTGGTTTATAGTTACTTGGTTCATTTCTAGATTGGTTTATAGTTACTTGGTTCATTTTTCTCACTCTTCTCATGGATGTGCGCTATCCCTGTGTCCCTGTGGAAGAGCTTGTGTCAGTGGCTTCTGAATAACATCTCTGGTTTCTTTGATAGATGTTTGAATAGGTGTGTGGCCACCAGAAGTGTGTGTTTAAACACTGAAAGGCAGGGGGGATGATGGAGAGCTTTAATTTGACTGGAGTTAATTACCCTGTTAACAGACCAGGTACTGAGTAGCAGAGTTCCAGCATTCCTCTTATTGCTGGTGACTTTTCTATTTCCAGAAGTTACATTTTATTAAGCTTCTGCAGCCAAAGTTGCATTTTACTTCTGGAAAAAGCCTACCATTTGTTTCTGTTTAAAAAACGAATCTAGGGACTACATTTTTGTACACGAGCCAGACTCAGGGATCAGCTGCCAGCTCTGTCTCTGCATCTTGTTTTGATTCGTTGCCCTTGAACCAGTTGTGTCAGTTGTACTCTTGTGAATTATCTTCTGGGGTGCTCATGTGGGTGCACATGTCCCAGATGAATAAAATCCATTTTTATGGACCATTGAAAATGTTGACAAACAGATTTTGGAGAAAAAAAAATCCTGTTTAAAAATCCTGAATCAGCAGCACCCTGTAGCCCAAACATGATCATTGGTGCTTTCTGAAAATGAACCTAATGTAGAGACTAAACACACCAAAGCCTGGATCAAATCAAAATGTTGATATAACATCTAAATCATGAGTTATAAACCTGAAACTGGATGGTGGTTTCCCAGAGGGCTAAAGGGAGCAGCTTTTGTCTATAATGTGAAAGTAGTAAAATGGACAAAATTACACACACACAAATATCCAAAACTGAAAAGAATTTAACAAGAACAAGTAGCAAATTGATTGGAAGATTCTTTGCCCTTTTCTTCTTAAATCTTTACAAATGTGGGAGTTAAAGTGCTAAGGTGGTATTCTACACACCCATTCCTTAAATCCCTGCACAAGGTAAAGCTCAGAATCAGATGATTTTCAAAGCAGGAAACAATAGTCCCATTGGGTAATGAGTGCTGAAGCAGCATTATCACATACCAGCAGGCGACTTTATTGGTTGTGACCTTTTTTTGACCCTTGACACTTGAGAACAAACCTGCTTTTTTGCTAATAAAAGTAAAGATACGCCTCCACAGGGAATTGGAAACATCCTCAATTCACAAGTAATGAATGCAATAACTATGAAAATACATGACATCAAAATAAGGGGCAAAATAAGTTTTCCTTATGGTCTTTTAAGTAAGCTTTAATATTTTAGAATATACAGAACAGACAAGACCAGAAGGGACACAATCAAACTGTATGAAGCCTGTCTTGGTTTAAACTGATTAAGTATAAAGATAAAAGCCCTTTTGCGCTGCAGTGTTTCTGTGGGCGTCAGGTGGAGGAAGCCTCATCAGGGCCGGAGTGAGACCTGAGGCTGGACTGCACGTTGCTGACTGGGATCTGCACCGTGGACACGAAGGGCTGGGCTGGCCCAGGGGGACTGACACTCACTGGCAGACGGAAAGAGGGAAACGGGGCAGGACCAGAAATCCATCCCCGCTGCCAAACTGAAGTCCAAGAGCTTCATCGCGGCCTTCAGTTTGCCAGAGACTGCCTGCTGCTGGGCTCCGGGTTTGGGAATGGATCTTGGCAGCTGGGTCTGATTGCTTTGGAATGTCGAGTAGAAAGGGAAACTTCCCACAGTATCCTGTTCTGCAGTGTTTAACTCGGTACCTGGGGTCGTGTTTTTTCAGGCTACAGTATTACATGCAAAGCGTTCCGTCATGCTTTATCCAAATTAATTCTGCTGGTTCGTGTTGCTCAATCCCCCCAAAAAAAATCATTTCAATTTTTGTCATTTTACATTTCAGTGTGTGTTAGCACCCCCTTGTGTTAAAATGATGTTTCAGTCATGTATCGTGTAGCTTTAAAAAAGATCGGTAAGATCGTCAATCCGCCTACAACACACTCACGATCGTCAAAAGGCGAAAAAATAAGAATAATAACAAGACCAAAATTATTTTTAAAGCTCTGATTTATATAACCTTAGATCTTTATATCATTTAATTCTGGTTCAACCACTCCATACAATGAACAAATAAAATAAAATCATATCTTACTTTTACAATAAGGAGAAGTTTATTTTATAATGTTAAATTCCCCGGGTAAGGGTCTCTGCTAAGCAAGATGAATAATGTCATGGGCAGATTTCAAATAATCTCTCTTTAAATTAGAAATTAAAAACACATTTTAGGAGCTAATTTAATTTTGGCATTTTTTTCTCAAGCAGAAGACGTCAAGACAGAATTAAAAAAGAAGTATCACAGCTATAATGTATATTTTACGCGGGGACAGCAAAATCAAAGTCATTTTATATTCCTGAACTTTAGATTAATATTAATATTTTTGTTCTGGTTCTTGGGTAATCCCGTGCACACATGTAATCATATTAGAACAAAAACAATATTTCGCTTTCATTTCAGGTGACTTTACTATTGGGACAGATTCACTATAAACTGCAAAGTGTAAAAAGTAGCATTTGTTTGTATATCCCTGACGGACAAAAACATCTTGCAGAGAAGCCTTTGTAATTCTGCTGTCTCCGTCTTCTGTGAGCTGTGGATTTTAATACCCATCCACTGCAACTGGGAGATTATTGATGATTTCACCGACATTTGCTTTAGGGTTTTCCCTGACAGCTCTAATAAACTTCTGACAAAAGTCCTTTTTTTTTTCAATTCAGTTTAGATGTCACTATCCCATACTTTCTGGAAGCACTGTAGTAACATACTAATGAGAAGAGCCCGTCTGGCCCATATATCTCCTCTAGCCCCATCTGGAAATAAGCCAGGATATCAGATTCAAAAAGAGGTAAAGAGGCGTTTCATTTTTAAATACATTTCAACATGGCTTTCACTTTAATCTTCTTGTTCGTGTTCCACTTCACAATTAACTACTGTACTACCAAACGGACTGGATAGTCTCAACGGCTCTTATGCTGTTATGTGGGGAGGTTTTAGGGTCCAGCTGGTCTAGCTGGAGTCAAATCATGCTCTAGACCTTTACAATATACACATCAATTCTTTACTGACAGAGATTATGTCCACTAAATAATTCCGGTTTTATGCATCGTGGTACATGTCCATAACCCAAGCCCAGCTGCAGCTTGAAATCGCTTTGTTTTATTCTATTTTTATTTCTGCATTTCGTTGTTACTCTCACTTCCTTTCTTGGAACTCAACGGTGTT